TGCATTGAACTTAGTCACTCCCATCGTAATTTCATTAGTTAAACTAGGCCTTTTCCTGTGCATAACTATTGTTCTGTTGCTGGTAAGGTCAGGAGCAATTTTATCGAATAGCAGTCATCCCTGTTTTATTTCTGTTCGAACATCAAAGAAGAAACAATGCAATGGGGACCAGGTTTACGAGAATCGCGCTGGTTCCGACGCAATCAACAAGCAACCAACAGGAAAAATGATTAATCCCATCCTCTACTCAGCCATTGGTCCTGGTCACTCTAATCCAACAGACCGTACATTGACTATTCCTGACATGCATGCCGGGCGTAATGTTGGTGCTACACAGAGTGAGATGTACGCATACGCTACTTGTGATGATGTTAGGCTCGCGAGGTTTATCAACACAGACATGCAGCAGAAGGACGCTGGGGAGCTGTACGCGAGCGTGCTACCGTCAACTCTTGATCAGTCAGCGCAGGACGTCCAGTCACAGCCGCAATGCAACCAAGCACACGGTCTTGGAAAAGCAGAGGGAGATGGAAATGAATTCAACCCAGCTCGAACCACCTGCTACTCTTCCCCCCGCAAAGTGGGTGGGACACGTGTTTCCAGCCATGACAAGACCATAAAGCAGAGTAGGACTTCGAATCATGAAAAACCTTCATACAATAGCATCACTGAATCGCGAACGCAAGTGGCAAACGCCAAGGAGTATGCATCGGTCTGTGACTCAAGAAATGCGGAGCAATCAACTGGAAGCAACCAGGAAAATGTCATCTAGCCTGATTTCATTGAGAGTAACCTATGTCGCGGTGGAAGCGACCAAACGCCAGTGACTTTCGCCAAAACGAACCCCGCTAGCAACTTGCAGACATCTCGTGTTTCAATGACAGGTTCCATCTCGACACCGACTGGAGACACAAATCCAGAAATGCGCATCACCATCCCAGATACCAAAGCTTCTGCCATACCGGGTATTCAAAGTAATGAAGGAAAGCCAGGGACATTAAATGAGCCCACAGTCTAAAGTTCCAAATAACGGAGCGTACCAGCTTTATTGAGATACGGAACCTACAAGTGAATTTATGCAGAGCCAGCGAAACCTCTGAGCAATACCAGTACACCACTCCACACATTGACCTGTTGGTCAAGTTTTGAGCGGGGTAAAGCAACAAAGCTTTTGTCAGCATTCCTGACCGTACTGCCATTCTTGCTAGTCGATAGAAACACTGCTGGAAAACGCGAATCCTTTCTCACAAAGCCATGCCAACATATGCACCCGCTTTCGTCGACGTTATTCAGGACTACAACTTAGGTAAGTCGATTGCCACTCTGGGAAGTCCCCTGGCTCGTTAATATTGTGATCAGTCTCAAAACACTGTGTTTGTCCACCCTCTTCCCTATGGTTTCGTCCCTATTATTGTGTTTTTTCTTTTATTGTATTTTTTGTACTTTTTTTCTCTCACACAGACATATGCTCGCAGTCAATTCTCCCGTCGTGAGTCCCATTCGGGACGGATGCGAGAATAATAATAATTATTATTATTGTTTTTTTGTGTGTTTCACTTTCGGCTGTTCTGTCTATTTCTATGTATACAGCTTTAATTCTCCCTTTTCCGTTTCTCCATTTCTTTTCGCTTACTCAATTTTTCCCTCTTTCTTCTGTGCTTTTCTTTCATCTTGTCTCCTTTTTCCTTATCTATTTCAACTCCCTCTATTCCCTTTTTCTCGGCGTATGTATCACTCTGGCCCTCTATCAGTCTCGAGTTCATGACAATCCTGATTTTTACAATGAAAAAGAGCAAATCCTTTGGTTTATAAGTAGTAGCCCTTAGGAATATTCAAACCAATGATTTGGGGAACTAGGAAATGATATCGCGCGGCAATGTCGCCCCCTGGAATTGCACGATGCATATGACACCAGGCAGGTACAGTGGGTTGGTCAAAAACCATGATTGAGATACCAGAGGTACCTGGTTCAAGTCCTGCCTGGGAGCGGTTTTTCCAACCGTGCTGCTACCAACGGTGAACTAGGAATTTGTGGCCAAGCACAAGGGGTACATGGATGTGGCTAATGGGGTCTTTCTCGGCACTTGTGCCAGTGGTTGTGAGAGTTATCCCCCCACCCCCACCGTTAGACGCTGCATCTGCCGCTAGGCTTTACCGGGTGTTAGCGGCCCTCGTGAATTCCATCAAGAAACGGACAAGAAAAATTGCCTTTTTTATGATAGTTGTTCAACTGTCGTTCAACCTGATCCGTCCGGTTACCTTAATCGACAGTATTCCACGTGCATACTCGCTCGGGGGCAAGAGGAGCTCTAGACCGACCTTTTCTCGACTTTTATCATGGCCATCCACATTCACATGCTATCGGTTTTTTCAAGGCCAGGTTATGCCAGTACTAGCGGTAGAGGCTGCGAAAGAAGAACGGCCGGGGAGGGAGTTCCAAGCGGTAATGCTGCAGTGTTGGAACGAGCGCCTCAGTGCCGGCGGGGCAGATGCAGGCAGCTGGTGTTGGAGCTGGTTGTCTGGCCACTGATATTACCGTGCTGGCTTGGAGTTCACGGGCTGGCAGAAGGGACATTGCGCGGTGCCAACACAGAGAGACAAGTAGTGCAGCTTTCGAAGGAAGGCAAGCAAGGATGACCTGCAGAAAAAGATAAACTCCACCATTTCTTGGATGTCGACTTGGAAGCTGAGACCAAACACTAGTAAGACCAAAGTGATGTTCTTCTGTAGCGGTGGTAGTGTCTGTATCACGTCCTGGCGGCTCATGGACCATAGAAACTGTCCATGAATTATTGACGACTGTCTAACATGGGCTCCTCATGTAGACTTGTTTTGCAAGAAAACTAGTAGTGTTCTTGCCATACTATATCCTCATCGTTCTCATCTACCAAATAACGTTACATGCTGTTCTATGTTTTATTGCTCGTATCTTTTACCTATTTTCCAGTATGCATGTCAGTCCTGGTGTAGTCTAAATCAGCATCTTGTGAAAAAACTTGAAATCCAACATAAATCTCTTCTTAAAATATTGTTTAACAAGCAGCGTTTATTTCCTAGTCTTGAACTCTATTGTATCAGCAATACTCAGGTACTGCAAGATAATCACAAACAGCAGCTTTGCCTTTTGATCCACAGAATTCGCCTAAGTAAAATTCCGTGCACGGGTGACTACCGAGCGTAGGTGATGATCGCGTAAGGTCATATTGGCGTCCACATTCACACCAAGAAAGGTTGACGTTGGTTGCCTCGGGTACCACTGTGTATTTGTTACCCGAGGTACCCGGCCTGGGATTTGGTCCGTTCAAACCCACTTTCCATATGAGAATCCTCTCGTGCAGTAGGTCAGCTGACACCTGCAGTGACTGTGGGGCGACTTTTGGGGTCTGCTGGGAAGTGACTAAGCTGTAAACAACAGTTTCCTGAACACAATTATAAGCTAACTCTATTCTTTGCGTTTTTTGTTAAGTGCGTGCTATAGAATGCGTACCTTGCACCTCTCCACTTGGGTTTAAATTTACACTCTTTGCATCCATAGCATGTCTTGGGTTCTTTGAGGATCAGTCCAAACACGAACCGAACAAAATTGGCACATTGTCAATTCTTTTTCTCGGCGAATTAATTAACCAACACTGAGTACAAACGGATTTTGGTTTGAATTTTTTTGCACAGTGTGCAGTGGAAAGAGCGAAAGAACTCTATTTGATTCTACTTGAAGTACATGTATGTGGCATCGAACAATAGCTATGCACTACATAAGTTAGTGTCCGACAGCACATATGTCTATTAGACACTTTGACATGCACCGGTTAGAAATAGTCCTCAACACTACAGTAATATACTAGAATACCCATACAACAACATGTAGCAGCTGAAAACTTCGGTACCTCTTCATCGTGAGCTGAATTGCCACATACTCCGTGGTGTACACAACACTAAATCACGTTGAAGCTCGCAGTAATGCTCTCCCAATCATGCATTATTTTCGCGGATAGGCCGTGGAAGTCTGACGTCACAGCTTCTTGAAAACGCGTACATGTACTTGCTTGGCCAAGTCGTGAAAAGTAAAAGTGGCAGCAGCATGCAGCGTACACAGCTACATTACCATTATGACTGAGGAGTGCTTGAGCGAGACTATACTTATTTCAAATGAACTGCTACTTGTCACCGAGTTTGTAGTTTTCGCTTTGCAGAGGAGGATTACCTAATTTTGGGCTTTGCCACTACTGTGCATGTGCTGTCTTTCGGCTTTACAAGTAGTCGCCGGCCAAGGAGCAATGATGGGTGTCTCTTTTATTTCTACTACAACGTTCGCTGGTTTCACCAAGCTCTGAAACCAACGAATTCTGGCTTCGCTTCCTTGTCCTGCGGCAAGCGAAGACCTCCTATCTCTCAGGTCCGGGTGAACACTCAGAAGGAAAACACTGCACGATGGCTTGAGAGCAAAGGAGAAACTTCTTGAATTAAAATAAAATTTGAAGCCGCGATCTTGCACCAGTGATGCCGTGACCCATGCAAACACGACAAATGCAAGTGGCGCGACTTTCGGTTGTCCCCATTTGGCCTTGTAACTACGTGTAACTACGAGTGTTCAGGCAGCGTGACGTAGGCACTTCGACTGCCTATTATGTAAACGTCATTGGCCCCACGCAGCGAAATCGAACCCTGAGCGCCACTAATAGGCTTCTAAACCGTGCGTAAATCAACACTGGCACCATGATTGTATGATTCTGGGTTTCTGAGAGAGATGTGCACAAAACCGAGTCATAACTCACTGGCGCATATCATTCTCGGTACTGTCACTGTTTAGTCAGCACACATTGCAAACGATCCTAATTATGAATGTCCCAGCGTGGGCGTTCATCCATGGCGGCATTTCCTCGTGCATTGTAAGCAGATGGTGCTTTCTGTCTCGGAGACGGCCACTATCACTCTTCAATCTTCATGCAATGCGCATAGCCCCGATGTTTTCCGTGAAGACCTTCTTGCTCACGCCTGACCCTCATTATCTGGACCTTGCTTGTGTACTGCCGTGTGAATATAATTGTTTTTCCTGAAAGAGTGTACACTTGTAAGGTTTACTGTAATAGGCTGAAGCAACAATATTTACATACATAGCTAGTGGACGGTTCGCACGCCCTATCCTATCCGTGGATTTAGTTAAGATCGACAGTAGAGGCAGCATCCATAGGAAGATGGTAACCAGTGTACTTGGCGACACAATCGCCCTGCTAGCGGCTATCAGTAAGTCGTATGCCTGCTGCTTCTTCACATGCTACTTCAAGCAGTTTTCCCTGTTGAAGATGACCGTATGGATGCACATCACAGCTTTGCCAATGTTTCCCCACACCCGGACGAGATACAGGAAGTCTGCCTTATCTCGGAGCTAGAAATCGAGTGGCCTGATCATCATTGTAAACAAAATAGCAAGCCAGGTCACAGAAGAAAGAACAAATGTGATTGTCTTCATCCCCTCCAAAACCCCAAAAATGGCCTTGCTAAATAAAATGAAAAATCAACAAAAACAACAAACCCTACTTAAAAGATATTAGATGGAGTCTTGGCAATGCTGATCCTGACTCGTTCTCCCGGTTAATGTGTAATGTCGTTGTCTGCAGGTCTGCTTTGCCCAGGATCCCACGGTGATTTACTGCCAAACTGCAGACCGACAGATGGAATCATAAAGAACTATGAAGATAAGATCTATATCCAGCCCGACATTGATCAGACACCAGTTGCGTTGTATTTGGGTACTGGAAACCTCTACAAGAAAACGTTCACATTCACATCACCTTGCAATCTGTTATTGAAAGCGGTTTCACTCATGTACACTGGATCATGCTCAGTAACAGTGAGTTATGGCAGTGATAACAGACTTCTTGAGACTCTTCACTTTCCAGTTCCGCTGAGCAGCACCTGGCATACTGGATTCGAAAACTTAAATCAAGCTGCTACCCAAACGCTCAACGAGTACATGACAAGGAATGAAATAACGAAGTTGATGATAACCATTTCTGCCAGGGATTCACGTTGCAACATCTACAAAGTCCAGAGAACCAGCCGCATAATAAGAGGATTGGCCATAATTGCCCAGGGTAAGCTGTTAAATTTGTAAATTACACAATATATAAATACTTAAATAACCAACGAGGAGACAATAGGCGCAAGATAGCAATGAATATTACCAATTGTGCACTCATAACCGTTTATGACGCAATTATTAGAACGTCAGTATGGATGTCTAGAGCGTTTTCTCGTGACTGTCATCAGCGGAACATCGCCACAAAGTAAGCATCAGTAAAAAAAACCAATTAAAATAGTAGCCATATGTCACAAAATTGAAATTAATACCTTGGATTTGCAGCAGCTCGTGGTTACAAACAAGTCATTTACACCAGTAGTGCGACCATATGCAATGGATGTGAAATGGTAGCAGTAAATGAATTTGACAGCTATGTGTGTGTGTGGGTAAAAAAGTGAGCCTGTAGTACCTGAAGAGTGTGAGTGCCAAAACGTTCTCTTTCTGTTTACACAGGATAGGGTCACGGGTACCAACATAAACAGGTTCTAACACCTGAAACTGCCTTTGCCGTTTGCGTTATGCAGAACTCACTAACGTTTCAGAGCGGTATAACTACACCAAATTGTGTTGGCTCCGAAATATCAAAGATAAGGACAGAAGGTAGAAGCTTAGCGAAACCGAATTGAAGAAACCGAACGCCAAAGTCCTACAGTACTCCTCATGCATGACACGAGCCAACCAACTTGGGCGGTGTGCTGCTTCGAATTGTAGTTAGACAGCTTTGTCAAGTATCTTCCTGGTCTCGTCATCGCCCATTAAAAATCGACATTATTTGTTCCCGTTGGACTGTAGCTTGTGGTCAGTTTGTTGGGCTTAATCTCCCCTCTTTGGTCTCTCCTTAACCTTGAACCTACTGAGTTGGATAGCTGTTGATTAGCGCTACGGAGATGTGTCAAAGCTAGGTGTCGGGGCCTCGAATGTCCTAGTACTCTGTCAGTTTGGGTGGAGTTGTTGCACTTTCTGACTTTATATAGAAGCTAGTTACAGTGGGTGGCGGGTACGCACTACATATCGTTCGAATTCGAACGATGGACCCTCGAAGGGTTAACTCGTATCCATAAGTCCTTTCCCTTTTCATCTATGATTGGTTCAACATCCGAGTTTCAAATATTTTATTCTGCTGATTTGCAGCAGACTTCTCACATGAGTGGATAACCACTACCCTCTTCTTATTCCGGTTTGTTCTCTGTAGTTAGCCGTCCGCCTGCTGCCACAAGCCCTGCTCCCAATCGTACTGTAACAGCTAGATCAGTTCCTAGCCGTTCAACACAGCAGCCGACTGCCTCTACAGCAACAGCTCCAGTTACGACTGCCTCCACAGTTCCAACTCCAGTTACGAACACTGCAATAGTGGAGTCAACTAGAACCGCTGGCGCCTCAGTTACTCAGATCAAGAAATCGACTCCAGCAACAACCCTAGTTGAACATCTTGATGATAAGCAAAGAGGATTTAGTTTGGTTACTACCATTGTTATTCCTTTGGTTGTACTTTCTGTTCTCCTGAGCGTTTTTATTCTGCTGTTACTGGTGCGGTCACGAACCTTTCTTTCTGGCAGCAGTCATCCGTGGATCATCGCTATTCGTAAATCGACAGTCCCGCAAAATAGGCCAGACCCGATAAATCAGTTTTACGAGAATCACAACGGTCCTGACGGCGCTGACCGGGGACCTACGGCAGAACTGACGGATCCGGGTCTGTACTCGGCCGTTGGACCTGGTTACAGCCATCCAACCAACCGTCCCAAGACACCTCCTGATATAGCTGCTGCTCTTTATGACAGTTGTACGGAGAATGAGACTTACACGTATGCTACCCGTGATGATGCTGCCCCAACGTGTTTTGTCAACACGGAAACGAAGCAGAAAGATGCTGGTGAGCCATACGCCAGCGTGCAGTCTATGTTTGACCAATCAATCGAGGATGTCCATTCACAACCTAAAAGCCAGGAAACAGAGACAGCCAGACAGGAAGCCGAAGAAGCCCCAGCCGTCTGCTACTCAGTTCCCCACAAGACGGATACGACAGATGTTCGCAGACGTTACGAAAACGCAGAGGAGTGCACGGCTACTAAGCGTGATGAACAACCCCGCACCACACATTCAATCGACCACATATGTCATGCTACGGATGTAACATCACGTAGCGTCTTATCGAGGTCCGCGCAATCCGCCGTACATAACCAGGAGAAGTGTATCAATCCAGATGATGTGGAGCGGAAACAACGCCGTGGTCTGAGTGACGCAACACCAGTAGTATGTCGCAATCCCGCCTCCACCACTACCAGCACCAACCAGCAGTATTCTCGCTTATCTTTTCCCGCCACATCTACATCAACGCCGACTGGGTCAGACACCCAAAGATGTGGTTCTCCATCTCAGGTCCCAAAGCCTCTGCCATATCGGGTATTCAAAGTGTTGAAGGACAGCCAGGGCGATTACATGAACCCACAGGACACAGTCTCCAGTCAAGGGGCTGACCAGCTTGAGACAGACACCGATCCTAACATCTATGCAGAACCAGCCATCTCCCTGAGCGATGATATATTGTGCAACGCAACTACCCTTCAAAGAAGAGATGAGGTTGGTGGTATCAGCACTGTGCCGGTTGATCTTCCTGATCCGTCTGCCATATATGCTGTGCCACAGAAAGGCTGCGCGGAACCTTGAAGCATGTACATCTAATATTGCTTCGGTGCCAGATCACATTCGCTAGTTTTTTCAATATTTCATTATTAATTTTCCAGACCAGGAATAAACTTAGTTTTGTCAGCGCCGACGACATCCAGAATCACTCATTTGTCTCCACGCTTCGTTTCTAATTCGAATCGCGAAAATACACCAAGTGAAATTAATCACCCACTGAACACAAGCATACCCCCGCCACCATGTAAAATTACATTGGAGTATCTTTTTCCATGTTTCTTGATCCTTGAAGGGTGGTTGCATTCCTACGGATTACGAAAATTCTGCCTCTGGCCGAATCTGACGCGGACCGTGATTTGTTTTCTTCTTTCTCATACTCACCGTGCCACCCAATTCTACCTATTTTCCATGTACAATCGATGATTTTTTCTAATCCATTTTTATCTTGCAGAACCGCCCACTCTGTCTACTTTGACAATACTGCTTGCTTGTCAATAACATTTCTGCTTGTTGCATGCATTGAAAGACGTTCGTTTATTTTCGTCTTCAATGTTACAGTTCACACGTCTATATTTCAGTGCCATTGTTTCATGTGTTATTATCCCTTACATTGGTTTCCTTTTGGTAGTTCGACTGTGTTGCAACGTCCTTTAGTATAAAAACAATTCCTGGAGGGTATTGTACTAAAACTGTTAGAAAAGAGAGAGAGAGAGAGAGAGAGAGAGAGAGAGAGAGAGAGAGGTGGGGGGGGGGAGAATGAGAGAGAGTGGGAAAGGGAGAGAGACAGAGAAAGAGAGAGGGGGAAGAGGGAGAGAGAGAGCTGCCCAGGCCCAGCAGTTCTGGCGAATGTGCTTGTGGACTTTGTCCTTGAACATATGGGCAGCGTTGCATTAATAGCCAGTGCAGGCTGTCGTAATAAAACGACTCATCCGTTTTCAATTCTCTTGAATGGTACATACATGCTGCAACGGGACAAAGACTGCTGTCGCAAAATACACTGTGTATCACACGTGTTTTGTTGGTGATTCCTGGTGAGTTGCTGATTTTTCTCTCTTCGAAGATGTTGCCACCGCAAAGGCTGTGGTTTTGGGTTCGTCCTGGGGATCCGTTGGGGGAGATGAGAGGCTACAGTGCCAAGACGTCCGATCTGTCCGAGAATCGGCGAAGAAGAAAGCTTCGCAGGACACTTGTCGTCGAAGGGAACAGAATGGAACATATACCAGTCGATACGCGAGCAAAAAGGAAAAAGGTACAGTGTCCTACCCTGCTCCAAAGCGCCGCACACCAAATCCAGGATACCCTCAAAAATCGGCAAAGACTTCCACTCACGTTCCACTACTGCCCAGTACTGAATCCTACCTGACTTCTTGACATGACTAAAACTTGCCAAAGTCACTAAATCAACGTCAACTACAATAATCAAGCCACATATCTGCAATGTCACGTGGGTGCTGGCAAAAGTCCTGCTGCACGATCGAGACAACATTTTCAGAGATTTTTCAACTGTTCATGAACTTTCAACTGATGTAGCACTCGATATGAAGTTACAAATTCTATTTTTTAGGGAATTTTCGAGCGATATGGCACGTTTAGGTTCCAGCCACCTTGAAAATTAAATTACGAAATCTCTCACCAGATGTTGGCCAGGTTGTAAGCATCATAATGCCTCCGAACAGCTATGCGATTGTTCATTTGGTAGTATTATCTTCAATTACTCAGTACTTTCCAAATCAGGATGTCATTTGCTTCAAGTGTCTTGCAGATTTGAACGAATGTATCGACGAAACAAATACTGGTATCTGCCATGAATTGCCAAATCCAGGGAGCAGGAAATGTGTCAACACAGTAGGGTCATATGACTGTCCTTGTTTGGATGGATATGCAGGTAGTACATGCAGAGGTAAGCCAAATGTCCATTATATTCGAAATTCACAGGCTGTGTAATTAACCCTTTAAATCGATTATAAATGAGTCGTCAGATGAGAAAACTGACTTCATCGCAAAAAAAACTGTACACTGTGCAGAAAAGAGCACTTGAAATTTGGCGAGTTTACCCACTGGAGCGTCTGGACAACCAAGCTATAGACCGCAGTATTTCAGTCAAATATAGATCCTTCGGGACGATTCAAATATGTAAATCAAAGCAATAACTCCAAGGAATCCAAAACAGCACGCGCGATCAGGGCATGATGCTGCGTTCAAAAAAACACGAAGCCTGTAAGGAAAGTCACGGCACTTTGCATTTCTACACCCGAGTCAAACGCTCCAGACCTTGGGTTTCCCCCTTTTCAGCACGTCAACACGCTCAGATGTCTTGGAGGTTTTCACTGCATCTTCGAGTAAAAAAATGATCGTCCTGGGATTTTTGTGCGACGGCGCAAGTCCAGCACTGATGCGATGTCTGCAGTTTATTCCGCTAGAGCTGTGCTTTCTTTGTTATCGGATTTGGGCCGACCGGGTTGCTCCTCGCCAGAGCTTTCCATAAAGAGTTGGTGGACAAGCCGTTGATTATTCACTCTCATTGCCAGTTCTACCCACCACATACACCAACACGTATTGCTGATCCACACCCTACCTAGACTCTCTCTCACATTTATCAACCCGACACTTCCATTACGCCACTCCACCTTCTACGCACACCAACACCTTCTACCAGCCTACACTTCTACCCGAAGGTTGTACACCTTCCCACCTGTATCGACCTGCACCTTACCTTCACCATTAATTTAGATACATGTATTTCCCACCTTCACCTTCTCACCTCATCTCACCACCATCACTCCCTATTAACCCGTGCCATAACCCAAAGCCCTCCATTCTTTATCCACCCGACGATGTTGTTCAGAACAACGAAACGTCTGGAGAAGTATCGTAAATATTTCCATCGGTATTAAATTTTATCAAATATACAACTCTTTGGTCTAGGAAGAATACTTTTTGTTTTCCATAAAGCTCAAGTTTGGAAATCGGGTAAAGGAAACAGAAAATAGTATCTAAGATAGGTGAAATGTTGTATTTCTCGCCGGCCGAGCGCAGCGATATTTTTCACCTGCAAATATGGTGTGTTCTTTATTGCCGCTTCTTTTCCTTACTTCTTCAGTCAGTTTTGAGTCTCAGCAGTGTCCCTGCCCTCCCTACCTTCATTTCTGTGCCTATGATCATTGCTTTTTATCATTTTTGCCGTGATGTGCTTGCCATGCCTACATGATGCCTAATTGCCATTTGGGATATACACCCAGTTTTTTCCCTCCCAAATGCGTTCGTCGGCGCGAGGGTTTATTTCCGGCTGGCTGGGTTCAGTAAAATTAATCTGAAAGTCCCAAGTCGTTCTGCATCATGGCCTATTTCTGGTATTTGCGAAGGACTCGATGGGTTTGCTTGGGTGATCGCCCTACTGTTGTAATGGCGCAGCTTCTCCATCGTCGATGATGGTATCCGATGTTATCAACCGACAATGACATCCAGCAACAACACATCGCCATTTTATCTCATTGTGGCCCCCGGGCTTTCCATTTATCCATTCGGTACTGATAGCCATTACGATTCACTGCTTGGTCTCCTCTCTTCGTCCTGCGCGCGAGCGCGATGACCCCATCCATGGACGGTACACTTTTGACTCGCTATTAATTAAACGGTGGAGAAACAAGTGTGCATTTGAAGTGAGCCGAATCTAAATCCGAATGTGAATCTGATGTGGTGTAGTAGTTATCGCGCTGAAATGGTTACGCTGAGGTGAGATTGCGCTAAAGTGAGATTGCGCTGAGGTGAGATTGCGCTAAAGTGAGATTGCGCTGAGGTGAGATTGCGCTAAAGTGAGATTGCGCTGAGGTGAGATTCGACAGGTAAAGGTGGCGCTGGCATGAGGGCGCTGAAGTGTACAGCAGCGGAAATGATTGGGGCTGAAAAGGGTGACAATCGAAGAGAGTTCCATCTGCCCTCCGCCAGAAAAGAAATAGAGCGCATGCCACACTGCGTATAAACAAGTGGGAGAATTAAGGCTCTTTGTGCCTTGCCGCGGGTGCATGCCTGGTGCAGTTGCCCGAAGCTGGTACAAAGACTGAATAAGAGCACTAGCAAGATAAGCAGCTGTACACCATCAAAACATAGAGCTTGAGGCTAAAACGCAGTTCCAAAGAAGAGGGGCGATATCAGCGAAGACCTACTTCAGTTGGCGTGGTACGATCCAGTCCAAATACTCTCTACATTGCTATGTGACTAACGTTCAAAATTCTATTGTACAGAGTTGTGCTTAAACAATGTAGGTAAGCATTACTGGCATAGCCTAGGGCAGACTGAATAATAGACACATAGAATGTTCGCTTTACATCATTTGTTGAATTTCAACGGCCATTTCGGGAAGCAGCAACTTTAGCAAAAACTGAGTAACGCAATTTCTGAACCTGTGGCTGGCAGTTGAGATGGTCGTCTATCCATAATCCAAGGTATTTGGCAGTGATCGTAGGGGTAAGAGCCTTTACTTTGCAGGTCAAGGGATAAATGGAAGTTTCCGGAAGAGGAAGGAGGAAACTGTAGTTATCACCAACCCTCACCGCGCCCAGCTCACGCCGCTACGGCGTGCGACCTGAGCTGGGCGCCCTGCCCAGTATGGAACTGGCCTCAAGCCAGTCACGTATTCGGCAGCCCAGTGAGCTGTCTACCGGATCGCAGCGTTTAGAAGCGCCAAATGCGGCAGGGCCAGTCTCAGGCTGGTCGCGTAGGCGGCAGGCCGGTGGGCGACCGGCAAGGCTGCATTCGCATTTGGATCACCGAAGTGATACAGGTGCTTCGACGGCACTCCGTGGCACATCAAGGAGGCATCTGGGGCCCAGGCAGCCCGCCCATAAGCGCACCACCGTATCAGGTATGCGCAGGTGGAGCAGCAGAGCAAGATGTGTGCCTGACACTCACCATCATCCGGTCGACCGCATGGTTGTGCGACTTTACACAGCCGTCACTCATTACTTGCTATTGCTTGCAGAAGGCCAGAATTTTTTTGCTCTCGTTTGCTCTAAAGCTAGTTGGTTTACATGGTTTATACCCGTACCTGAGCATGGATCCTACTCAGCAGCAGATCGCTGGTATTCCTCGTTTGAGACCGCGGCGACGGCAGCGTCGGCCCTGACCAACAAGCCTCGGGCGATGAGCATGCCGGCCGAAAATGCAGGCATGGACACTGTCGTGCATGACCAGTTTAGTTGAGTTCCTTGGAGGCGCTATGATGCCGGCCGGCGCATGTGTTGGCGCACGGGAGACGATTAGGACAATACGGCGTGCGGAATACTTCGAGCTGGCCACAATGCTTCCTTCCGGTCCTGCCCACACGCAGCCAGCAGCCAAACGTGTTAGAATCGATCAATCCGATGGCAATCACTGAGTGGAATTGTCATTGGCGGCTCCTCTTCTGGCAAGAGAAAAACTGAATCTCTAATCTACTGGGTCGAGGCCTGGCAGACTTTCAGAACCATCGCGCCTTGCAACACGAGCTTACGCCCTCTGGGGCCCTAAGTAGTCCGACAAGAAATTCATACTGCACGGCGACAAAAAGGCAGTTGGAGCAGTCTGAAATCCGGGACTTGCCGAAATCCAACCGTGACGGAACTAGCCCACTTCAGCCCCCGCATGGTAGCAGACCACAAGGCTTTATCTCGCTGACTACCCATATTACGGCCACGGACAACTCCGCTGCGGACGCTCTTTCACGCAGACGATTAGTCCATTTCCTCTCATCGGCTCCCTAATCCAGCTGCTGGACTCGGCTTAGTCCCGAACTCATGCTATGCGGGAGCAACTAATCATGGCAGCAAACCGGCTGAACTTCTTCTCAACCAATGCGTGCCTCCTTTTTCATTCGCTGTGTAGTCTATCTCTCTCAGCACACGTGGGTAAGCACGCAAGCACACACACACCCACGCATACATACATACATACATACACACATACATACATACATACATACATACATACACACACACATACTCTCTCTCTCTCTCTCTCTATTTATCCTCCTCTCCTCCATCCCTCACCCTGCTTCGCCTCTAAGTGCTGTCGCTCCCCTCCCCTTCCTACTCGTACTAGGCGGCATTACACCAAGTCTCAGCATGTGGGGTCTACTTTGCTGTTTTGGGGCTTTGTTTGGACATGGCGAGCTGTTATCTTTTTCCTTGCGGCTGTCGTCGCTGTTGCCATTGTTGTTTAGATACCACGGCGAGCTGGCAGTAAGTGCCGGTGTTGGCGGGCTGGCGACCTTGTCTTACTTTCAGTAATTAACACTTTACCCGAGGTGCGATGGATTAATCCGTCACGACCGCGCAGGGCATATTGCAGACACGCGTATGTGCGTTACACACACACACACTCACACAATTATGCGCACCCGGCGAGCAGGGCGACTGGCCCATGCTGCTTATTCAGTTGTACTAGCGGAGGCAGGGGCGATTCCCCTTCGTAATCGCCCGTGCGGCGGAATACCCGGCGGCCTGATACGGCGGCGGTGCGAGCAAATGCAGGGGTGGTTCCCTTTTGAGCTCTGTTTGTGGCGGCGGCAGAGGCAGGGGCAGCGCCCCTAGCCCATGCAGCGGTTGACCCGGCGGCCCGACATGGCAGTTGACCCAGCGGTCCGATATGGCAACTGACCCGGCGGTCTGATATAGCGGCTGACCCAGCGGTCTGATATGGCGGCGGCGGCTGACCCAGCGGTCTGATATGGCGGCTGACCCAGCGGTCTGATATGGCGGCTGACCCAGCGGTCTGATATGGCGGCTGACCCAGCGGTCTGATATGGCGGCTGACCCAGCGGTCTGATATGGCGGCTGACCCAGCGGTCTGATACGGCGGCTATGCGAGCAAATGCAGGGGCAGCGCCCCTTTGCGCGTGTTGTTTGCGGCGGCATTGGTCAAGGC